AAACATCCTGATCTACTCAAGATTTCAAGTGTACATGTACATGCAGATTGAAATGTAAATGCAATACAAACGTCCTGGTCCACTCAATAAACATTTCATCTCTTTTATACTTATTCATTACATGTTATTACCTTAACTGAGTAATTAGCCCAGGAAGGTTGCCATAAACTGCAGGGTCCCGATAGATTTCAGTGTAAAAAAGGTGTTTGTGTAAGAGATCCCAATTCAAACCAAACTCTTTCAAATGGTCAACATCCTATGGAATGTACAGAGAGCAAATTAATATACAATAAAAAATGCCAAAAATTACTTGATATGAATTATATGCAAAGAAAACAAACATTTGTATCAAGGTCACTTTGTAACTACTGTATTTACACCTGACCCGAGTAGTTTGAAAGATAGACAGTGTTTTCAGACTAACTGAATGCAAAAAAAAAAACTCCCTGACACACACCTATAAATTCAAGGCTGTCTATGACAAGGGGCGAATGAATTGTAAATACAAAAATTATAGCACACAATGCAAGGCTGATATGGCCTTAGATGCTCCCCTTTCATGCACAAAATCAATGGCAAAACAGAAATATCAGATGAATGGCACAATTTCAATTATCATTACTAGAACTTCTCACCAGCTTGGAGAAGAATGGTCTGAGGATATCAAAAGCCTTTGACAGTGCTTGGTATTCATCCAGTAACATAGTAAAAAATTCTTTAGCATGGTTTGGGGACAAGGGACATGATGTCAAATATTTCACAAGGCGTACTTTCACTTCTCGGACATATTCCCTGGAAAGAGGGATAACAAAAAGATCACATTAACTCAAGACTAGGAAAGGACTACTCCTTTAAAGTATGCCAGTTAACCTTAAGCAAGACAAACCTCTGCATACCACTTGATAAAGACAACCTATAATTAAGAACCACTTTGGGTTTGTGTGAAAGAATACAGGCACTCCTTGGATGCATTTTTTTTTTTACACCTTCTGTCTTCCTTAGCCAGTGTATGAACCACAAACATTAGATAAAAATTTCAAAACAAAAAATTGTCTCATTGTTCGACAGTGGTTCCATACTAGACGTGTATTGATTCCATTTCTAACATGTCCTTGTATATATACATTAATTTTCTTCAAAACCATATTTTCATACAAAGCACAAGCAAACCTCAAACCCCACAAACCTCTTTACACACCCCTAAATATTGAGACAATTTATTCAAAAGAATTTATTTCTGACTGCCTCTAAACAAACACAAAACAAAATGGCCCAGTACATGTATTTGTACAGTTTACATACCTGGCTTGAATTTCAAGTTTTTCAAACAACTGAGCAGGATCACTTTTTAGTAATCTAAAAAGAGTTAAGAATGAACCAATTACATACAATTACATGTATACAATGGCGACGGATAGTTGAGAAGGAAATAAAGGAGATGGGGAAGACCTGGGAGAGCATCAAGTTCATGGCAAGGGATCGCCAGATGTGGAGGGAACACGTTGCTGCCCTACATGCCTGTTAGGCGTAAAGGGCATGTGCGTGTGTGTACATGTATACAATGTACAGTCACTGGTGACAGAAAAAAAAAACCAACAACAATAAAAGTATGGTGTAAAAATATGTTTTGTTTACTAAAGGAGCCATCGCAAACCAGACTGACTCAAAAACTGCAATAGCTCACCAGCTTGCAGGTATTATATCTAAAGCTTTCATACATAAAGGGAAAATAAATTAAACAAATATCAATGTCAAAACTTTACGCAATGTCTGAAATACAAAGACGAGTATGATGAAATAAAATAGAATAATTTTCTAAATATAAAATCAAAATCAAATAAAAGGGCCAGGCAACTCAGATTCTTCTGGCTCCTCTCAAACTTTAGATTCTTTTACTAAAAGTCATAGGAAGCTCTACAGTTTCAGAGCTATCTCACTACAAGCACAAGGATAGAGGTTTAGGCCTCAGAGAGTGTTAAAATACCAATACAATTTAGTCAAATGCTGATTTCCACCTTAAAGAAGCCCCTGGCCCTTCTGTCACAGTACCTGTATACTACATCTATGATGGGGGTACTCACTTATCTACTTTGAATCTGAGTCTGTTTTCATCTAAAGAATTTTTAACAGTTTCTTCCCCATCTAAAACATTAGCAACAAAATAAGTATTAATCAAATGTGCATGAAAAAGACATAATCACCCTGACTTTGTCCCAAGTAATGCTTCAACAACTGGAATGGTTAAATGGAAACCAGGTCAAACAAACACAATTAAGAAATTCACCAAACCATGGAGTGTTCACATAAATTGTGTGACATTCCTCCTTTTGTTTGTAGAGGAATGACAAACAACTTGTGTCAACACCAAGGAATGAGGACAGATGAGCTACATTACCTGCATAGGTGCAGTGAAAAGACAATACAGTTTGATAAATTTTGCAGCAACAAGCCAAACAGTTAAGATGACTGCAACTGTTTGGTTGACAGAAACGAGTTTGTGCCTAAGCCTTGTGTCCACATAACCAAACCTTTGCACAAGAGTTATTTTCTTTTAAGGGGGAACTTCTACATCCATACAGTAGTATGATGTAAATGTTCTTCAAATGTTCTTCTATTTACAATGTGAAAAGAAGCAACTGAACTGAACTTAATGCCACAAATATAACTTTTATTAGCAATATTGTACAAAGCTAGATGTGTAAATGAAAAACATTAAATTAATCAAAATCCACAAAGTAAACTGTTTCTCACTGAAACAGCATTACAGACAGGCAAAACATGCTATATTGTATCTGTAAAAATATTTATAAACGCAGTTGTCCTACAAGTCACAAACCAACTCTGGTAACCCTCCCACACTCTTAACAAATCTTCAATACACAACATAACAATAAGTATATCGCATTAGTAGACAAGTACTACATATTGCATAGTTATTCTCCTGTTCACCTGCTAAGGATGTTCCAGCCTCTCTGTAAATACACCTCACAATGTTTTTAACCTCGCCCCAACAACACTAGGGACAAAACAAAAAGCTACAATGAAAGGTAATTCTCATACATGCATAAACATTATACAATGTGCCAAAGTGTTTCTATAACATACATGAGACTAAAAAGTTCAATTCACAGTGCTACAGGCTACAATTAGAGAATAATCCAAAAAACATTCAAATGCAGCATACACATGTATATACAGTTTTTGTACTTATATGGTGGCTCAATGGAAAAAAGGAAAAAATTTAATCCTGAACTTTACAACAAAATGGAGATACCTGTAGCTGCATCTAGGTAATTCAAACATTTACATGTAATGTACACACAGTGTCTAAACAACCCACAATATGCTTTTATTCAGCCAGTTTCACAAACTTCCAAAAACTACTATCCTTTTGCATCTAATTTGATAAAGAACTGCACATCATTTAATTTTCAATAAGAGGAAATTGACACATCAAGAAAAATTCATTATGCCTACTTACATAATTCTGTGATGATAATTCACAGTCCAGTGTACAGTAGCTGAACTTACCCGCAGTTGTTGCCTTTCTTTCTCCTTAATTTCAGCAGCTTTTATTGTATCTTGCTTGACAGAGCTGAGTATATTAGAAGGGCATAGTCACATATGTTTACAATGTACAATCATATAGATATCAATAAAGTGCAAACCTGAAGGCTCACTGTAAGAGACAAACCTCTGTTGAAAACCTGGTCACTAGTCCAAACAAACCATCAACAATCACATGTGCAGAATAACTTCTTTGAGGGAGGATCACAAAATTTCAACCTTCCATTCTACATGTACATGTACAAGGAGCTACAAAGCAAAACATGTTACCTTCTACTGCAGTTTTGGTGAAAGCACTTGGATTGTTGCTCAAAAGGTTTGGTTGTGATTGAGAGAGTGAGATTCAAAGATGGCTTTTCCTTGAAGTCTTGCACCTGTGAATAAAGATAGAGAAATTTACAAGTAAGTACCCCACAGAAGTATCTGTCAATAAATAAGAAATAACATAAAAACAATGTAAAAGAAAGAAACAAAAAACTACTCAAAAGATTTTTAAACCTCCACTGTTAGAGTGACCCAAAATAATGTGAAGAGGTCTTTTCTTCAGACAGAAACACGAACTTGAAGATCTTAACCCTCTCACTCCCATGAGTGACCAAGCTAGAATTTCTCCTTACAATATCAAGACAATATTAAGAAGATAAGTAAGGAGAATGAAGGAAAATATCAATCAGGGGATCATTGGTTGATCCAAACCCAAATTCTCCTAACTAATATCATAAGAATTGAATGGGAGACAGAAAGGAGAATTACTTATGAGATCTTGGGAGTGAAAGGGTTAACAGAGTACCTAAATGTACATGTGCATCTAACATTTCCACAAACTTACAGGTATTGATGGTTCCATTGCTGCCCTGCGTTCTTCCTCCTCAATACTTCTTCTACATTCTGGACATACCCACAGTGGAACCTACCATAAAAAAGAACAAAAAATTAAAATTTACATGTATCTCTTTAATTTTGTCTTTTAAAAGAACTGGAATTTAAAAATTTGGTAAGTGGGCCAAAGATCTGTTGCTCAATGGCATAGCACTGGAGCATGGAGTGAGAAGGACACAGATATTATATTTGTCTAATGACTTGGACAAGAAAAAGAACATCTTTCTTTGTGTTAAGCTTATCCTTGTTCAAACAGATCAGTAGGAACTAACGAAATCCACTTGTTACACTGATCTAGAAATACCCTACCTGTGACACTGAAGTTCCATTAGGATTTGATGTTTGAGTTGAAGATTTAGTAAGTTCTCCTACAATAAAAAGGTGTGATGAATAGGAATATTAATCTTATTCATTGCAGCTCATCACCATTCATTCTTCAACTCTTTGATGGCCAACAAAAGGATACAGTAGACCTCGAAGGGAAACCTTTTGCAAGCATTTACCAATTTTTTTGTATGCATTACCATTCAGTTTCGAAGAAAAAAATTTGTTAAGTATTGCAACACCTGCATCTTCTTTAAAAAACATATTTTCTACCTAAATTTTTAAGCCTGTCAAAGTGTGAAATGCCAATTACAAATACTCTACATAAATGATTCCCACAATGTTTATCCTGGCTGTAACAGTAAGGAATAAAGAGAAATTCAATGTGAAACAGACAGGTATCACACCAAAACCAATTAAAAATAGTCTATATAAATGACTCCTGCAATGTTCACCCTGACTGTAAGAGTAAAGAATAAAAAAGATTCTACAAGGAATGAACAGATATCTCACCAAAACCAATTACAAATAGTTTACATAAATGACTGCCCCAATGTTTATCCTGGTCGTTAGAGTAAAGAATGGAAAGAAATTCTACAAGGAATGGACAGATATTTTCCAAAACCGGGCTTTTAGTGTGAGAAATCTTTATGGCTCACACTTGACAGCCAACCATCAACAAGTTCTGTTGCATCAAGTTCAAGCTCCTAAAAACTTGAAATTGAAATTGCTGGCAAACAGAATTGAACCGAGGTTTGTCACCTGTGAATGCTAGATAGTTTCCCACAAATTATCCCACTGCTGTAAGTCTCATGGGACTCTGCAGGTTGCCTTTTTGTTTCAATTGGCAGTTGGTGAACAAACTTTAAAAAAGAAATGCAAAGTGCTCCTAGTGATTGATTATGATATAGTGCAGGAGTTTTATTAGTGTGGTAGAATTTAATATCCAATTAATTCACTCAAAGAAAAATAGTTCCTTTAGAATTGCCATTCCACAGTCAATTTGCAATTACATCAAGCTGAAGTGAAATATGTTTTGCCAACTAGCCCATTTCATAACTTTTCATTGATATAAAGTTTATGGGAGCTATGCTTCAAATAGCATGTTAAAAATTTTTTTGGCAAAGGTCCACTGCACCTACATGTACGTGAGGGTCATAACAAATTATTGTCTCTAAATTACATGTAACTTAATACAGTAACAACCTCTTATCTGCAGAATTATAGCCACAGAATAAGGACAATATGGGTCCTTTCACAAAAATTGAACTTAGCCTAAAAAATTGTTTTAATCCTTCCCAATTTTGCCTAACAATTTCCCTTTTTGAGTCTGACATGTATCCACTTATATATATCTTAACACCTATATTTATTTATAGTCCTTCAAGCCAAAAGGTCAGATCTAAAAATATTTCAAATTGCATGACTAAACCCCTACCTGATTCAAACTAAGAATGGCTTTGCCAATAAAACAACTTTGAAAACATTTTAAGTGACTCAGCTTAGTTGATACTGAATATGTTCAGACACACATCATACAAATTTCACATTATTTACAAACAGACTGTGAAATGCTAGAACAGAATGACCAAAAGGGATTTCAGTGATCTGCAAATAGTAACAAGGCACATTGGACTTGCCACTGTATATTCTCGTCAAGATTTTAACAACTGAACTAATACAACTGTAGATAAAATTATACTGTTTTCTAACCTTTCTTGTTTCTCTCATAACGTTCTTTGTGACAAAGAAGACAGCGTTCACCATCTATTGTGGGAGTTCCAGCCTTTGGTGAGTCATCATCTCTAGATGAATTATTCTGTAGCTGCAACATGAAACAAAAATGTGTTTTGTGAAAAGTTATCGCTTAAGCAAAACATGAATTTCATTAACCATTAAGAAAACTACCCAACAAAAATAATTCATAAAGTATATGACCTGTAAGATGCTGCATATCAGTAGTCCTCTGTACAGTGTAAACACTGAACAGTAAATTACATTGCTGTTTACATCATGCATAACAGGAAAATTTATTTGTAAAAATCTTGAAAGTTTTTGTCATTATTATTTCTTGTTTCAATTCTTTTTTTATTGGGATCTCTACAATACCAACAGAATCCTGCCTTACAGAAGACTGATTTCTGTGCTTAAACACATTTGGTTGACAGTCAATTTTTTTTTACACTCAAAATTGATTAATCACACACTTGAACTTAAGCTGAAATCTCTTCTCTTGGGCAGAAGACTGATCTCATTGTACCCTGACCACCTAATCTGATTGCAAAAAAAATGTATACATATACACATGTTTTCATCCTCAGTCTTTATCAGACTGAGTTCTCCCAGGTTTTTTACATTTGTATGTTACTTGCACTTGAAACAGAGGTTTTATATCAGTTCCACAGAAAATAGCAGTTTGGATGGCAGAAAAACCTTGTCTTTAAATACTGTGGAAAATTTACAAGTCTCAAAGTTCATACTCAAAAATTAATTCCTCAGTATTTGGAAGAAATGTTTTCAGTGGTTTCATAAATATTTAGTTACAATTCTCTCTTACAACTCTAGGGAATGTTGTACCCTAAATTGTGTGTGCTAAAATGCTGGAAAGAAGTTCCAATATCATTATAATTCTTAAACAAAAACAAAAAAAACCTCTGCATGTACTGTTTTGACATGAATACTGTACATGTTAGAGAATGACCAAAAAAAAACCTCATACAGCAAATATTTATAACTATGAGAGATTGTATACCTATTTTTATTTGGCTTAGTCTGGAATGAGGGCAAATCATGAGCCTAATATCATCTGCTAAGAGGTACCTCTGTTCCTAGGTAATACAGAGACCTAAAATTATGCTGTGGAGTTTCCAAAGTACAGTATCAAATTTGTTACTGCCACATTCCCAAGAAAAAAAATTAATGAGATGAAGAAATAAATGGAAAGGGAGCAGACTTTTATTACACCACTTAAAAATATAACTGCTTAATAAGATAAAGATGTTACATAATATCATTTCCGCAACAGGAATTTGAAGGTCACAATGTAAATCAAACCATATTTTGTTTATCAGTGATGTGAAGAACTTGGTCTTAAACTGGATTTTACAAAAAAGAACTTCAGATTAAAGACTACTAATTGCTGTTGCTTTCCCTGATATAACAGTGTTAATACTTTTGCCTGACACATGATTTGAAGGTACAATCCAAAAATTTAAGTGCACAAGACTGAAGAGTGGGAAAATCAAATAATATAAAAATTTAACCTAAAACTGCTGTGGATGGCATAGCTAGGAAATCAAGTGAAAGTCCAGAAAATTTTATTGATGATAATTAAGCCCTTCAACATGTACAGATGCAAACAATAAGGATGAATTTCAAAGTAAATTAACATTGAAACTTAACATGAACATGTACACCAATGGTAATTTCAAAATACAAGTTAATTTTATTTCTGAAGTAATTAGTAAATATTCACTTTGACTGAAACAAAACCACAGAGGACATAGATAAAAAATAAAGTTGTCAAGCCATTTATTGCAAAGCCTTGTGTGTTATCTATCCACCAAATACCAGCATTACATGATCGCTGGAAATCGTGTTTTCCACCAATGTTATTTCTAATTACGTAGATCATTAAACTTGAAATATTTCTTTACTCGGCAGAAATTGAATCACAGTTGTTTCGGGGAAGTGGACCTACTTCAATCCCAAATTTAAAAACAAAACGCAATAAAGCTTGAGAACTCGAGGAGTATAACTTTACTTTAGCATTTCCCATCATCAGTGACAAATAAGATGAATGCCATAATATATTACATGTCTCCGAAAAATTAGGTAAGATATACCGGAGTTAAACTTATTGCGATTAAGATTTTCCGTTCAAAATTCGAACATTTATAGTTAGAGAGCAATGTGTAATCCGGAGGTTTGGGGCTAACACAGTTAGAAAGCAAAAGACTTACTGTCATGTAGTATGTAGGACTATGTCTGAGTAAAAAACAAACATTCCATCCTACAAGCCCAGTGTACGAAGGAGAATGAGAACGGAGATCAGACAACACCATCAAAACATTAGGAACAGATAAAAAACAGCTGAATACCAAAGTTGATGAGCCCTACAGTAATATTTCTGCTAAAGATCTTGTATTATTCTGGATTCGTACGATACGTACCTCTCGAGTTTCAAGGGATTTCGGAACGTGTGTGTCCGTCTCTGTACTTTGCTTCGACCGTTTCTTCCGCCGTTTGTTGTTCTTCTCGTTACAACTCATAGCGACGAACAGCTTGGCAAGAGGAATTTCCTTAACCAAAGAAACGGATGATTACGTTGGTTCACTTCTAACGCAAGGCTTCGTCTTATCTGACAGACAAGAAAACAAAACAGAAGAACGTTGATTCCCACACTTTCTTACTGAAGCCACACATCAAAATGGCGCCCAGCATTCCCAACATGCCAATCGATCTTGGATTGCAAGGGATTGTGGTTATTTCAATTGAGGAAGCGGGTTTATGTCGTTTGCGAGAGGTCTGGGACAGACAATGTTCGCGCGCCATATCTGAACTCTTTCAGAAAGAATAAAATCAATTTCAAGTTCCTTCCTTGTTGAAGTGCATGTGTATATTTACTCCCTTTAATATTTCTTATAATTTTAAGTCTTTTTGTTCATCTTTCTGTTTCACTCCTAATCCTGCTACTTGCTTTGCAACGACAACATCGACAACTGCAACAACAACAAAAGAAACTCTCAGCTTGCCATTTTAAAATTAATCTATTGCTTGTATTACTGGTATGTTTTGCTCGCTTTGTTCATTCAAGACGATTAAGTTATTTCCCAGTCTCCACGAAACACTATGCTGATTGTATCTGATAACTTAAGAACTATGGATATTTTGAATACTTAACCCCTCATCAATTTTCCCCCCTTTTCTCTTGGAAGACGATGTATTGGAAGTACCCTCTTTTGATATATTTTGAAAATGAAACTTCTCAAAAATTTATGTCAGACGAAGGATTCAAACATAACTGAGCCATTAGTGAAGTGAAACCCTGATTGATATTCGTGAAAAATAAAGCATTTGACTCTAAATCTTCCCTATATCAAACTTATCTGTCTATATAGATTTTCGTGACATGTCACGCAGTCTAGGGTCAGTCAAAAACACGCTAATTTTCGGACATTTTCCTCTTTTTCGTGTATTTTATTTGAATTGCTATCTTTCTTACCTTCAGTTTATAAAAATAACGTATATAAGCTTTCTATACCACTGCATTTGAAGGCAATCATTAAAATATTTCGTTCGGGTTTTTGAGACTTTTGTTAGAGATAAAGACATGTCAAAGAAGGGTTCACGCTACATGCAAGCACTGGCCATAGAGTCTGGGGCTATAACTCTAAAGCGCATGCACAAAACTGGTCATTACCGCGAAATACAAAACCAAGAATAAATTTGGCGCAATTTGATGTATAATACATGAGTTTTGGATATTGTTTGGGTTCGGAAAATGGGACTCGAAGTTTACGCGTTGGTGATTTGTCTTCGATGACTCTTTTCACAGTGGCGGTAGATGCACAAAACGATTTCGGCGAAGAAACAAATCGTCCAAAAGGGGAAAAATTGACTTGGTTTACTTACGAAATAAACAAGTAAGTAAAAATTGCATCAATCGAAGTGTATTCCAACCTGTTTCTTTTTTCTTTGTAATTTTTTAAAATTGTTTTTTTCATCGAACTGAATTTTTTTAATCAGCTACCTCATATACTCCCCGTCGAAGAAGCCTGGTCAAGAGCCGAACGTCGAAAGTGCTGATTCTGTGATTGCAGGAATCGTGGAAAAAAATCTTGTGGAAATCTGAGATTCGCGGAGTTAGACATGGTTTGATGCTACTCTGGTTTACAGATTTAATGAATGCAACCGAAGAAGTTACAATTCATAGACCCAACGTTTCGACACTCCTGTCTAGTGCCTTCATCAGGGGTGATCTAAACGCTGCAACAAGAGGTCATTCGCGGAGTTGTCATAAATTCCAGAATTCTCAACGTCTTCAGGAAAAAGATTTCTCTCCATTCAGCGTTTAAGAAAGCGTCAAAAAGTGGGGGAAGAGTATAAAGAAGCTTATTGATTCGTGAAAGGCAAAAAACTACTCCTTGAAAATTTTTTATCATGAGCTTGAAAACAACTTATTGATTTAGGAAAACCAACAGCTTCGTGGGTAGGAAAGGAAAGCTGAATGGGATTTAGCCGCAGAGCAGGCAAAGAGATTAAAAATTGAGCAGAAGCTTAAAGTTGTTGTTAGGGATTCGGAAAACAGAAAAGAACAGTACAAAGAAAAATTCAAAAGGTTAGCGAAAAGAAGCAGAAAAAATGCAAAAACAGGGACAAAGAGGTCCAAACAAAAAGAAACGTTTCACTGATTACACCAAATACCACCAGGCAAGGATAGGGCGAGGATTTAAAGAAGACTGCCACTGTCATTTTTAGGCCTGTACAATTTTATTGCCACCAAGGTTGAGGTATTTAATAATGACACTCAGCAGTATGAAACTATTTCATGGGTAGAAGAGGGAGAATTACAACTACTGTAAACAGAGCCAAAAGAACTGACTGACAATGATATTGATCAAATCAATATGTGAGTTTACTTAAAGGACAAATTTAATATAACCAAAGAAGCTTGGCATGAGTTGGCCATAAAGTGTAAAGACATGCCCACAAAATATAAAATATGCAAACACCTAGATAAGCTAAATGCCAATTGGAATCTGAAAAGTACACCAGGGGAGGCAGAAGGAATACAGATTTCTTTCAGGGAAAGTATTGAGGAACAGATAAGAAGGCTGCAGAAAAATGGAGTATTGCACAAGGTTACTACTGGTAAAGTAAAGATCAGTGGTGATGGTACCAACATTGGGAAAAGACTTCAACTTGAAAATGTCACATACACAATTTTGACTGAAAAGGGTGTAGCAATGAATGAAAAAGGGAAGTGTTTTCTAGCAATGATTAAGACAACAGAGAACTATGACAATCTTAAAGAAAGCCTCGCTGATCTAAATAACAAAATGTCAAATTTAAAATAAATAACTGTAAATAATCATAAGTATAGCACTGTGTATTCTTTAGGAGGAGACTGGAAGTTTCTGGCCCACATTTGTGATCCAGCAGCTACAAATCAAAATTTTGCTTGTATTTGGTGTAAGTGCCCAAAACATGAAAGGTTTGACATCAACAAAAAGTGGTCTTTAACTGACAAATCTCTCAGGGCAAGAGACTCACACAAAATAGGTAAGCATGCAGAATCTAAGCAACATAATTGTAAAACCAATCTCTTGTTTGACTTTATTCTTATTGACCATGTTATAATTGATACACTACATATGTTTTTGAGAATATCTGATAATTTAATTGAACTTCTGATCAGGGAACTTTACAGAAAAGATGCCATTGACAAGTTATCTACTTTTTCAAATGGGTTTGTCAAAATAGGTATAAACTCATGGCTGGGTATGAGAAATTTGTTAAAGAACTTGGAATTAATTTTGAATGGGAAATCAATAAGGACACTAAGAAGTTGGAGTACAGAGATCTTACTGGACCTGAAAAACTCTTGGTTTTAAAACACATAAATTTCCACTTCCTATTATCAGAGTTTCATGATGCAGATAAGCTGCAAGCCCTTTGGAGTAATTTCAGAGATATTATAGGTGATCTTAAACTAAATTACACCACAGGTCCTACAGATAGTGCTATCTCTAGCCTTGAAGACAAGATGAAAATATGGTTTCAAAAATTCCTAGACCTTCACCAAGCGAAAGATGTAACAATGTATATGCATTCTTTGTATGCTCATGTGCCTGAATTTTTAAAGCTATACCAAAATTTAGCATATTACACTCAGCAAGGTATGGAGAAGTACAACAACACTGAAAGGACTTCTTTAGATCATCTTATCATAGAGAGGTTTCTGCGCTAAAGCAACTTTTCTTGAAAAAACACAGAATACAGCTTTTGGAAGCTACTGGTTTGGAAAGGGTGAAGTAAAGCTACAACTGTGGACACTTCAACTTCTGACCATACCATCAAAACGTGTAATGCAAAATGCAGAAAATGTGATACTCCTACTTTCTGTGCCCATCTTGTTGAAATAGATGGTAAATGGAAGCCAAGCTGTGATTTTATCAATCAGGAATCATATAATATATCAATGTATTAAAGGAGTGTATTACCCAATAACTGTTAGTAGAAGTTGTGTAGAATAATTTTGCTCTGCCTGTGAAATATGTTTCTTGTATACAGTCTTCAAGTGGTCTTTTTCAGAAAAATTTTATTGCATTGCTTACAACAGAATCAGACCAAAATATATGGATCATTTATAACCACATGTTTACATTTTATGTAAACAGATCGCAATTGGCCTCAACTATTCATAGATACAGAAAAAGTAATGAACATGTGCTAAATCAAATATATTAATGATGGACCATATTTTTTAATCCACATCTGTTGCCATCTCCACGGACAAATGTAAAAACGACTTGATGCCCGTTGTGACACCGGTTCCAATCGCATTACGGGCAAATTATTTTCATTGCATGGCCTCCACTCGTCAAATATCTCACTGTACCCTTTGAAATGAATTTTAAGCATGTTTCTCGCTTTTTCGACCTGTGTTATCTCTACAGGATAAATATCCTTATCCGTAGTTTTTATTTTTTTGCATTGCTTGGTCTTAGCTTCTACGCATTCGTCAATAAAACTCCTCGGAATCTTACGCTCCTGCTTCGCTCTATTGACCGCCATTTTTAACATTGGCGCTCTTTGCATATTTAATTGCACTGCGCATATTAGGTGAGTAATAGGAGGCTTGGGACCAATTCAAGCAAATTTTCAGTTTTGATAGAGACTTCCCTGATGAAAAAAAAAGGAAAAATGCACAATGGCCGGAACATTTATCTCCAAAATCTTTGAATTAGAACAGCACATTTCTTACAGAAAATCCGTGCTCAGATCCACGGAAAAAGCCTTTTTTTTTTCGGAAACTACACGTAAAAATTCTCCTTTAGATAACCTGTGGAGCACGCATTGTTCGCGCGGCGCCGAATAATTCTCTCGCTGCTCCTTGAGCTAACTTGAGAAAGAGAGGCTTTTTAAAATCTCGATGAATGGGAGAATTAATATACAGTCTGCATTCAATAACAGAGTGCGAACTGAACAACTTAAGAAACAAAACCTTGCCATTCTGATCTCGGCCCTAGTGAGAACGAGCCTGAAGTCTTAAAATTCCGCGCCCCAACGCTCTACCATTGAGCCACAAAGACTGGGCCAGGCGTCCATTCAGTTTATATGTAACCAGCGTCTCGCATACCGCAAAGAGCAGCAATTTCGAAAGCCTCGTGTGAATGATACAATAGGAAAGACGGCAACTTTTTAAG